CTGGGGAATTCTGGGAGTTGAAGTCCACTCATCTTAAAGTGGCCAAGTTTGGACAACACTGGTCTAGTGGCACCACCATCTTTTTTCCATGTGAAGGCCCCAGGGCCAATCCTCTGCTTCCTTAGTTTCAGATGTGATCAAGCAACCTGCCCTCTTCATCCTCTTTCCCACCGACGTTTTTGGGTAAGCTGATGCCTAGCACACCATCCTCCCAATACAGCTGGAACTGACCATCCTGCCTGGGTGAATCAATGAACAGGGATCTTCTCCTGAATCCCCAGTGTTTTGTGCCAATGAAGGCGAGACAAGGAGGCAGAGAACACAGGCGATTTCATCCAGAGAGAAGAGGTTGGCAGCTGGCAATCTTGGGCCAAGCCTACCTTCTTCTGGGCTAAACAAGGACCGAGAAAAAGGTGTTTCCCTTTTGCTTCCCAGAATAATTTTTTTTTAGGTATCCGGTGAACCCACCACAGCCATTCACTTCCTGCATCTAACCTTCCAGAGGCTGGGTTCACGCAACACACTAAACCCCAAACCCAGGTTAATAAGCCACAGTGGTGGTGTTCAAGCAGCATGTGATGTGCAAACAAATAAACCATCTTCCACTTTAATGTAACAGGCTGGTTCACTCAACATGCTAGGATAATGGGGAGCGTCCTCCAACCAGCTAAACCTCAGCTCCCTCTGAGCCTGGCCTAGGGCGCTGTGCGAACCCGGCCACTGTGCCTCTCCAGGAGACCCTCGCTGAGCAGGTTCTTGCTTACCTATAATACAGAGACCCTCCTGCGCCCGAGTGAGACAGACATTGATCTGATGTAGGTCTGCCACGAAGCCCAGATGTTTCTTCTGCCAGGTCTTTGTGGGCCACTCATCAATCTCCTGCTGGCTACATGAGCGGACAGTAGACACTATGACGTATTTCCATTCACTGCCTGGAGACCAGAAATTGCAACCAGGTTAGCCCCGCTACACCTGGAGTGCTGTAGACGAGCCACATAATCATCCCTAGGGATTCACAATTCCCAGGAGTCTGTATTTCCACTTGCCAGGAACCCATCCTTCTCTGCTGAACTAGTCTCCCAGCCTTGGTCTGGGACAGAGAAGGACAGCTATACAACCATCTGTGGTGGGCTTTGGAGGCCCTCAAAATTGTCCTTGCTCCAGAAACATCTGCAGGGGAGTCAAAAAAAAGTCAAGATGGCTTTTTTGACATCCCTGGCAGATGTTCCTGTCTTCTTCCGCGTGCCTTAACATTTGCAGAGCTTAGTTTGTGGAGCTAAAGCAAAGGTGTTGTTCCTGGAAATCCACAGCCCTCATCTTGCTTAAAAATGCAAGGACCCCAACATGCCAAACTATCCAGGCTGGTACATCTGCAAAGTTCCCATAGCAGTACATAAAGCCCACATCCTCTTTTCCTGAATGAGCCACAACACAAGTGGTGGGGTCTCCTTATCAAGGGCAAATGATTGCTGGGGCAAGTGCAAGAGGGAATGTTTTGATCTGACAACCCCCACTCCTTGAGTAATTTCTGCAGTAATTTTCCTGTGTAGTTGGGAGAAAAGAGACGAAAAAATCAGTTGCTAGAAGTGTAAGAGGTTCAAACCCTCTTACAGGAATGGAACTCGTGGACCACTGTATTTTGGATGACTACATACAATGCATTCGCTTTCGGAACTACCCAGGCCCTGGTCCTCAGCAATATTGCAGGAAGGGATATCTAGTATATATTGCAGGGTTTCCCTAACTTGGCAATTTCCAGGTGTGTGGACCTCAGATCCCAGAATTCCACTGCCTGCATAGTCATTGAACAGAATTCTGGGGGTTGAAGTCGACATACTTGAAGTTTTCAAGGTTGAGAAACACTGATCTATTGGAATGGTATATACTGTCTTAAGTTCTGTGAGAAAGCCTCAGACCCAAAGGCTGCAAGCCAGACCACAATCATCATCATCATCATGAGGCCAAACTGCAGTCAAACTAAAAGGAGAAGCTGCCCAGATAGACAACCTCGGAGGAGAAGCAGCCACAGAAGGGAAGTATGGTTGGAGTGGAGAAAAGGAGAAGTACCAAAGGTGATGGAGTGAAAAAAAACACCGGCTCTGTTGTACACACACGTCTGAAACAACATGAGGCCCAACAAGATGCAAAACACGTCCAGAAAAGGAAAAGGGCCCTCCATCCTAGGTCATAGGCTGCAGTGCTGCTCATGAGAGGAAGGAACCAAGAAGTTTCAGGATCCAGATCTGACTTCTTCCAACACTCTAGACCAGTATTTCTCAACCTTGGCAACTTGAAGATGGGTGGATTTGCTGGGGAATTCTGAGAGTTGAAGTCCTCCCATCTTCAAGTTGCCAAGGTTGAGAAACACTGCCCTAGACTCTGTCGGGCCAACACTAGTTGTAGGGGGGCCTGGTGAGTGTGGTGTGTGTTTGTGAGTGAGTTTGAGGAGCCTTGCTCTAATAAAGAAACTTGCAATTACTAGAAGTTGCTCTTGGTATTCATTGGGAACGTTAATGCCTGGGTTGTGGTTGCATGGAAGCTCATCAGCCTGCTGAATGAGTATGGATGGTTTCCAATAAATTAACCCATCATACACCAGGTCTAGACATCATTGTTCTCTTAGGTGCCGTCTGCTCTTTGGGTAGGCAAAAGCCAATGACTCTCAGAAACACAGGGGCAGAGGTTGGCACTTGTGTTCCTGTCATCAGTGAATGAACGATGTTTGTCTATGGGGGCATAAAGGAAACATTTGTCACAGCTGTCAGAGTAGAGAGATACAGACGTTATGTTGCATCATGTGAAGTTTTACATGAACCTGGTTACATCGGCCTTGTACATGGGGACATTAAGGTAACATCCCCATCTCTCTGAGAGTTTACAGGAAGGTGAAGAGTGGATACTATTCTGAAAGAAGCGTAAGAGAGATTTTCCAAGACAATCCCAGTAAACATTTTTTTAAAGTTTATTTTAAAAAAACTTGATTTTTGATATATTTATTGTTTTATATCTTGTTGTAAGCTGCCCAGAGTCACTTTTTACGAGATGGGCGGCCATATAAATTTGATATATAAATAAAAGTAAATAATAGAAGAGAATGGTGTAGCTCAGGACTGAACTGTGGAGTCCTTGGGGCTCTCTGAGCTTGGCTGTTTTCTTGCAGACGTTTCATTACCCGACCAGGTAACATCTTCAGTACTAGAAGGGAGTCAGGTAACGAAACACCTGCAAGAAAACAACCAAGCTCAGAGAACCCCAAGGACTCCACAAAAGTAAAAAATAACACATTTTAGTGTGGGAACTGGATCCAGCATAGAGATGTGCCTCTCCCTTACCTTGGCTTTTCATGATGGTGCAAACGGTGATGTCTTGCACGCCAACCTGAGAGAGCTGCTTCCTAATTTCAACTACCTGGGCATTATAAGCCGTCAGGATGGCAATCTGTGCCGGCTTGGTGGTTCCATCCAGCGTCAGCTGCTTTGCAATTCTCACCTATAAAAGAGCACGGAGGCCTTAGTCTGTGGCTTGATGAAGAAAGGATGTCTAAGATGAGACAGACAAACAACAGGGAATGTTATTCCTCTCACAGGGAATGGGGTGGGCTATTATTCCTGATTCCTTCACAGTCTTTAGATAAGATGAAATACAACTCCCATGTTCTCCCAAGTAGCTTGTGAGCCAGGACTTCCCTCTTTCAACACCTCAGCTCTTGCTCCTGCTCGGGAGCCAGGTTTCTTAGAGGGAGAAACCCTATCCCCCACCCCAGTTTGAAGGTTCAAGGTGGGGATGGGTGAAGAAAACCAAGCCTCCCTCCCTCCACAACCCAGACCTGGGGAGTAGCACCAGTTTCCCAGAGAGTCCTGCTGAAGCCTGGCAGCAACATTGCCATGACCTCACTGCCACTCCCATTCCCACATCCCTTCAGTATCCATTTGGGTTCCACAAGAAATCTGGAGCGGCCTTTTAAGAGTGGCATTTCTGCATTAATTTTTCTCGCATGATTTGTAACCCCAGACTCGAAGCAGCCTGCAACAAAGGAACGGCTCCACAAGCAAACACAGCATGGGTACAAACCCACCCACCCAAGGTGAGCGCTCACAGCAACACCTTCAGGCTAAAGGTTTGGCGGAATGAGGTGGTTTTAACCTCTCTACCGAACGCCAGAAAGGAAGGAGGTGAATGCTACTCTGGGGGGAACAAGTTGGAAAGTAGGGGGGCCATAACAGAAAAAGCTTCCTCTCCTCTTCGTGCCCCCTCCACAGCCTCAGCCCAGCAGAGGGGCCAATAAACTGCAACCTTGACACAGGTGTAGGAGGAGAACGGAGGAGATGCGTCTTTGGGAGCTCTGCGGCCACCGGCAAATTGAGTACGGCACCCAAACGAAAGAAGGTGGGGTTTTTTCCCTTCAAAGGGAGTAAATGATCCAGAGGAAAAGAAACATACAGCCACAGCAAGGAAAATATAAAGTTGAAAGTTGCAACGTGGAAAGTTGCAAGTCCTCTACCTACTGGCCAGTAACAGAGAAGGAAAAAGCAGAAGACATTCCAGAAAGAGGAATTAAGGCAGAACAGTGTTTGTAGGAAGAAAACACTGCTGTGGAATAGTATTACTCTAGAGTTGTAATATTAGTAATTGAAAGGTAATAGAGTATCACCATTGTAACTTATAGTAATTAGTGTAGTGATATAGAAATAATAGCAATAGGCTAGAATAGAGAATGGAGGCAATAGAAAACACATATAGACTTCCGTAACCCCAATTAAGTGTGTGGTGCGAACCTAAGCTAAGAATTGACAACTGGGCCAAACCAAAACCCCAGATAAGTCCAGGCCCGTTTCTAGGTGTGGATCATGGCAGCTGCAGCTGTGGAGTAGAAAATTCAACTGACACACACCACCAAGTGATCAAGAGACCAGGACAAAAACTAAACTGGATTTTATTTGAATGTGAAGGATCATAACAAGAATGAATACAATTCCCCCCAGGGCATCGAATCTATCCCATTAAATATTAGAATTTGGGAAGGGCCATGGGGATGCATCCGAGGCTTTGGGGGTCCAATTAGACCTCGTCCCTGCATTAATGAAAGCCTGGTCTGCAGAAGGCAACCTTCTAAGCCGATCTTCACTTGGGGAGAGATCTTGTTCTCTGTTATGGTCTGCAGATCCAGCTGTTTTAGAAAACTCAGAAGCCACCAAGGGTTGGTCCTCAGCATGTCATGGCGATCCATGCTTCTACTTGCACGCTTACTCACCACCTGCTGCACTTCTTCCAGATTGGCCCGGGAGTTCTCGTTCCCATCTTCCGTGGAGACCATGAAGGAACTCTCCTTTCCTTTGATGTGGCCAAAGATGATGGGGCAACAGGCGGATTTGCTGCGGTGGTAGAGCACGCTGCTTCCGCGAACGAGGTTGGGACAGGTCTTCAGCCTCTTTTCGTAAAAGGCCTCGGATGGGAACATGCAGATGTCCCGGTGCTGTGGGGCCAAAAAGTGGGGTATTTGAGTAGAATCATCACAGGAACGTCACAATCACTCATGAGCCCAGGCCTCAGCAAACCCAGACGTAGATACACATGGGGAAAACAGGAGGTGGGAACAACATTATGCCCACCACCTTGAGTTGCGCAAAATAAAGTCAGCATATAAATCAAATAAATAAATTGGGAGGGGGGTTAGATATCAAAAGGTACTTGGCTGAATAGCTACAGTACAGTCATACCAAGTGATAGCCCCAAGTCAACCATGGAAAAATTAAGCAAGGACAGAGCTGCTCTGTATTGGGATGGGAATTTCCTGGGTTGTAGAATAAAAAAAACTTGGAACAGGGCAGTGGCAAATCCCTTCCAGACTGCTGCCAGGAGGTCCCCAAAAGAGTCCAGTTGACTCAAAGGAGACTTTCCTTTCCCTCTAATGGTTACATGTTACCATCTGAATCATTGGCCCAGGAAAGAGTTCGATCGCTCATCTGCAGGGGCTGATGACTTTCTTGAATGCATCCACTCGGGATGATTAACAAAAACATGGCACGTTGGACAAGGTAGACCTTTGGCCTGATCCAAGACAGGACATCTTAAGTTCTTCAGATTTGATCCATGTTCCTCCAAAGAAACTGTTCATTTGCCGTCTCTAAACCATTCTCCCTGGCACCAAACCTGATTTGGTCTAAGCTTCCAGGAACAAGTTGCTGTTGTTATTATTGTTTGCAGACTTGAATGAAATGAACGAACATACGAACATGAAGCAGTGGTGCTAGATTGGGCCACTGCCCCACCTAGTCAGCAGTCTGTTCTCTTAAGTCAGCGTTTCTCAACCTTGACAACCTTTAAGACGTGTGGACTTCAACTCCCAGAATTCCCTAGCCAGCATGGCTGGCTGGGGAATTCTGGGAGTTGAAGTCCATACGTCTTGAAGTTGCCAAGGTTGAGAAATGCTGCTCTAGGTGGCCAACCAACTGCCCAAGGAAGCCCACTAATCTCCTAGCAGATGACCCTCAGAGGCAGTTCCACTGCCATCAAAGCCATTGACCCCCAGGACTTGCATGAATTGCTCCAACCCTTCTGGAAAGCCAGCCAAACTGCCAGCCACCACCCCATCCCAGGGTAGCCAATTCCAAAGTTGAATCCAAACTCCCTTCAGATCTTAGATCTTGTCACGTGATGTTGACTTGTAGCTAGAACTGGCAGAAGGAGGGTGTGAAGGATGAATTCATGTTATTCTTCATTTTGTTATTTTAGAAAGAGCTCGTTCGTGACTGAAAGCAAAACTGTAGTAGAACTACACATGGAATCAGCTAGCCCTGTGACTCTGGAGTGGAGATGGAGATGGGAACAGAAACCAGGCACTTCTCCTTCCTTGGAGAGTGAACAGTATGGTGTGAGAGGAGAAAGCATGCAGAACATATCGAAGATATCTAGCAAGACAGAATCCTTACAAGGTGAAACAGTGTAGGGGCACCACAATAAGGCCACCTCCAATCTCTTACTAAGGACATTCCAGTGTAAGGATCACACTGTGACTTTCAATATTTTCTTTATCTTTCTTATGTAGCGTATCAACCCAAATGTACTGTATATAATCTGTGACCTTGCTTTGTTGGCTTCTGCAGTTCTTCCGCGAGGAGCCAAGGATCGCTGTAATTGTGTATGCCAATAAAAGTATCCTGGGTTGCACCTATCCCCACTGGCTTGGGTCTCTCATTTAAAGCAGGCCTTTTTCCTGCCACAAGGGAAACATATCTTCCTTTGCGTTGAAAATGCAGAAGGTCTTGGGTTCAGTCTTGAAGAAGAGCTGAAAAAGGCTTAGTTTTCAACCCAGGTTCCACCCAGCAACAGGCAGGACAGAAACCCCGCCTCTTTTGTAGCGCATGCAATGCGTGCGCAAAAGGGGCGGGGCTTCCACTGCACCACCACCCCTATCACCTTGCAGCTTTTGGACACTGACTCAGGGTAAGGCAATCAGCTGTTTTTCTACATTCAGTTTAATAAAATCAAGCATGCTTTTATAACAAAAAGCACTAGGGTATAGTGTTGAGCCATGCCTAAAAAGGCCCAGGTTCTAGCCCCACCCCCAACCATGGAAGTCCATGGGGTGACTTTGGGCCAGTCACTTTCTCTTAGCCCAGTCTACCCCACAGGGCTGTTGGGAGGAAAAAATGAAGGGAGATCCCTTGGAAGCTGCCCTGAGCTGGAAGGTCAGAGGGGATGGAGGATAGAAATCTACAAACAAACTAATAAGCGAAGGATGTAATGAACAACTATTTGGTTTGCATCCACATGCTTGTTCCTGCAAGGAACTTAGAGAGCATGGTGCTGCTCCGTTAAATGATACGACCTCCAACATTATGTTCCACTTCCAGGCAGAGAAATCCTTACCATGCGATACTGGATGTCAAGCATCAAAGCCATGTGTTGGTAGCGCTCAAAGAGAGACTTCTCCATACCTAGATGCCGGCAGAAGTCGCTGTGGACCACTGGTCTCAGCTGCTTATGGTCTCCTAACAAGACAACCTAGGAGAAGGCAAACGTTCTCAGAATCCACCACCTTCCGGCTCCGGGTCACTTACAGGCAAGGAAACCGAGATGCACACGTTCCGTCTGCTCCTCAGCCTTTTTTTCCATCGTCCCAGAATAAAATCCAACGTCGTGAAAACGTTGAGGAGAACCACGCAAGGTGGCAAGGGGTCAAAACAATTCAAGAGGGCAGTCGCAAGCAGAAGTAAGGTTTCAGTCATGCAGTCATGAATGCCATCTTGGTGTTTTGCCCCCCTCCTGCAGATGTCCCACACTGCAGGACCCCATCGGTCAATGACTGAGAACAGGAGTACCCAGGGCCACCTTCTGGACAAGACCCAAGTAGAAGCACTCCGAAATCATGCTTCTGAGACCAAATCCTGCAAGGAGTGCAGAATATAATATCAGGGGATGGTAGAGATTTTGGATCTGGATCTGAAGTGGAAAAGATCCTTCATACGTGTACTCATTTTGGCTTTTGTGTGTGTATGTACCTTGGAGTCCGTGTTGACTCCTGGTGGCTGCCTGGACTAGTCCCTGCAGTTTTCTTGGCAAGATTTCAGAAGTGGTTTGCCACTGCCTCCTTCTTCCTAGGGCTGAGAGAGGGGACTGGCCCAAGGTCACCCAGCTGACTTTGTGCCCAAGGTGGGACCAGCACTCACGGTCTCTTGGTTTCTAGCCTGGTGCCGTAACCACTACACCAAACTGGTTGTCACTGTGCACTCACATGTACTCACTAGGCCTTCAAAACCCCACACCTGTTCCTGGGCTCGCAGGATGGCTGCTCCATGCCAGAAGTTACACCCTTGAATTCAGGAGGAACCAACAAGGTGCAAGCACCAGGAACAGATGTGGCTTCAGATTCAGGGTCCATATATATAAACACCCAAGTCTGCTCCATACATATGTTTATGGGGATGTGGGGAGACTCTCCAAGATCAACAAGGTAGGCAAAATGAGTCTTGCACAGGAATTCTGTCTGGGTTTATCATGTTTTCAATCCACTCTTTTCTGCCAAGGGTCGCTTCATGTATCCCCTACTTTGGGGGCCAACCTGGTCCATCTGCATCAGCTCACCTTCTCCATTGTCTTGTATCCCACCAAAGGGATGAGGGTCTCGGGTTCTGTGGACATAGCACACTCATCGATCAGCACCTGCCTGACGTTCAGATGCTCCGCAAGGAAGCTGAAGTAAGAGGCTGAGCAGGTGCAAAGAATGACATCGTGGCGCTTCAATTCATGTACTCGTGCCTTATGTAGTAAGTTTTTGTACCTGTAAGCCCACAAAAGAACACCACTGAGAACCAAAAGATGAGACCTGTGTCTCCACACCTTAAACAATATCCCATGCCCTCCAGATACTATGCTAAGATGTCCCCAAAATTGGCAGCAGGGCAACAGATGGGCAGAATATCCTGGATTGGACAAATTTAGCATCCTTTTTTCCCACCAATGGGAAGACCGAGGTAACAGCATTGATACAAAACGGCAGGGCTTGGACCAGAGGTCACACCCACCCTCTTGCAAAGGTGGACATGCGCACCCTGCAGACGCTCCTGGGTCAGGGCGTTGCAAGCCGCATGGAGCAACCAGCTTTTCTTGCACACTTCCAAGCAGCTTTTCCGAAGGGTTAGAAACCCGGTTTAAAATGGAGGGAAGCGGAGATTCCAGGAAAGAGGAATTCTCTCCCCAACAGCACATTCTACCCCCCTCCATGATTCCACGGAAGGCTAAGGCAGGACTGTGGAATAAAAGTTATGCGCTGTGGTTAATTTGTTTTTATGTATTAGATTTATAGCCCACCTTTTGCTCAGAAGCTCATACATGGGGCTCTCTGCTCCTATTTTGCTCCTAACAACGACCCAGCAAGGTAGGTTGGGCTGAAAGGGAGGGACTGGCCCAAAGTCCCCCAGGGAACTTCTTTGGCTGAAGGAGGACTAGAAACCAGGTTTCCCTGAGTTATCCACACAGAGAGAAATCAGGACTCCTGTACTGCATGCAAACTGAGCCACCCAGCTGTCAAGAGCCAGAAGGGCATCTGGGACTGAAATCTCCTAAGATGCTCATAAAACTCGTGGCAAAACTGAGGTATCTTCAAATAAGCCTCTGCAGCCATCTCAGTCTGATTGCACTCACTTGGCAACTTCCTTGTCTGTGATCTTTTCTCCGCGACGCACCCGTGCATCAAACTGATGGATCTGTTGCGCGTAAGGATTAGACGATTGTCGGATCAGGTAGTGCAGAGTGATGCTCCTGCACAGAAAGGGTTTGTTTAAGCAAGAAGACAAAATATGCACATATGTGCGTGGACAGCTACTCCTTAGGACAGTGCTTCTCAACCTTGGCCACCTTAAGAGGTATGGACTTCATCTCCCAGAATTCCAATCTCGGCTAGCTGAAGTCCACACGTCTTAAAGTGACCACGGTTGAGAAATGCTGGCTTAGAACCTCAGACATTTTCTGCAAAGCCCCACAACACTTTCACGGGTGGATCGGGCCCCATTTTACCTAAGGCTGAGCACGAGGGGCCTCAAGTCCAAGTTGTTTTTTGAGGACTGTTTTTGGTGTGGTTTTAAACATTTTAATTGCTTTTATTCTTTAATTAGAGGAAATTAAATCAAACAAAAAAAGCATACCTAAAACAGAAAAAAGAAAGCAAAAGGGAGGAAGGAAGAAAGGGAGGGAGGGAAAGTTATGGATGGATGGAAGGAAGGAAGGAAGGAAGGAAGGAAGGAAGGAAGGAAGGAGAGAAGGAAGGGAAGGGAGAAAAGAAAAGAAAAAGAAGAGAAAAGAAAAGAAAAAGAAGAGAAAAGAAAAGAAAAAGAAGAGAAAAGAAAAGAAAAAGAAGAGAAAAGAAAAGAAAAAGAAGAGAAAAGAAAAGAAAAAGAAGAGAAAAGAAAAGAAAAAGAAGAGAAAAGAAAAGAAAAAGAAGAGAAAAGAAAAGAAAAAGAAGAGAAAAGAAAAGAAAAAGAAGAGAAAAGAAAAGAAAAAGAAGAGAAAAGAAAAGAAAAAGAAGAGAAAAGAAAAGAAAAAGAAGAGAAAAGAAAAGAAAAAGAAGAGAAAAGAAAAGAAAAAGAAGAGAAAAGAAAAGAAAAAGAAGAGAAAAGAAAAGAAAAAGAAGAGAAAAGAAAAGAAAAAGAAGAGAAAAGAAAAGAAAAAGAAAGAAAAAAGAAAGAAGAAGAGAGAAAGAGAAGGAAGGAGAGAGGAAGGAAGGAAGGAAGGAAGGAAGGAAGGAAGGAAGGAAGGAGAAAAAACAAAACAATGTACACAGAAACACATATGTGTATGAACAATTACAGCAGTAACATGGTCATCCTTTATTGAAACTGTTCTGTAAAACTTTTCATGCATACATATATGCTTTTGGTGTGTTCTTACAATGATTTGGGATCTCAGAATGTAACTTGACTGAAATTTTGCCAACACGCAATTCACTTCAGACAAGGAAAGTTAAAAATTAGAAGCTGCCATCCTGTGGATTGCAAATCCTGAGAATTAACTCTTCCCAAACTAAGTGGAACTGTATCCATACTTAAACATACAGAAGATTGTACTATACATCTACTCTAAACTCCCTAACTCAGTGTTGTCCAAACTTGGCCACTTTAAGATGAGTGGACTTCAATTCCCAGAATTCCCCAGCCAGCACGGGAATTCTGGGAGTTGAAGTCCACTCATCTTAAAGTGGCCAAGTTTGGACAACACTGCCCTAACTGGTCAGCAGCTCTCCTGGTTGCCTCAGGTTTGAGTTGCAGAAGTGGTTTGGTTCTGACATACCAACAAGCCATTATCTGCAGTTCCTCTCCGAGCTAAGACTGCAAACCAGCTTGCAGTCCTGGATCTCAGAGCAGACACAAAACAATTGATTGTCAGTCCAGTGCATTCAGAGTCTACATTCTTCAGGATAACATAAAAATAATGAATTCAGCAAGAACAGAAGGATAGGATACTTCCAAGTATGTTCCTTAAGTGTTTTCATCCATGATTCAGGTGGACTTTCAAGATTATGAGAGGCTTCGCTTTCTCCTCAATGTATCCTATGCTGATGTCTCTCTCCCTTCTGTTTTGTCCACTGAAGTCAACAGCCCAGAAACTGGGAGTGGGTGTGGAAATCCAAAACACTAAAGTTAGTTTCGGGGCTATATTTTTTTAACTGATTAAAGTCAACTCTCCTTCAATTCCTGCTGATTACGTGGACACTCATCCCTGTAGCTTTCTAGTCAATAATCCAGAAGTCCTTTGTCAAACCCGCTTTGTGTAATGTTTTTTCTCAACTTCTTAGCCTTGCTACTAATCCCGGGGTTGCCTGTAATCTCCCATTCATATTAACCAAATATTAACCAAAGCCAGCCATATTTTTCAGAGCCAGCTAAGGTTGGCTAGGAATTCATTCATTCATTCATTCATTCATTCATTCATTCATTCATTCATTCATTCATCATTCATTCATTTTATATAGATGCCCTAGTCTCACATATGTGACTAGGAAAGTCCTTGCGCCTGAGATATACATGAAGCCACTCTTTCTCTCTCTCTTTTAAGACACTATTATCCATTTTAAAAAGGGCACCAAACTAAACACCGCCCTCTTAAGCTATACGAGATACCAGAATGAGCCTTCAGTTGAGCCATTCTGCAGTTGAGTACAAGCAACACCAACCTGAACCACATTTGTTAAGGTAAAAGAGGCCCAAACTCAAACCTGATCTCTGGCTTGGATTTTGAGTGCCGCTGAGATTTTCGAGAAACCTGGAGGTTGCTGCCAGGATATGGGAAATCCACTGTCTCGATCGTATCTCCATAGATCCTCAGAGGCCTCAAGGAAGCGGTCATCTTCATCAGCATCTCTGAAGAAAAACCAGCATTGTTGGCTTGAGAATGATTTCTGTTGTCCAGATCTTGCAAGTTCCAGCCTCTCTAGCTGGCTGGAAACAATCAGGACATGGTGATGGATAGCTTGCTGACCCCTGGTCTAGAAATTTAAGAGATGGCTCCTAAACTAGGGAATCTTGTGGGCACAGAGCAGGCACTGAATTTTAAAATGGGGATCGGGAAAGGGAGGGCAAGAAATTAAAAGTAATATGAGTACAAACAGATGAGTTGGGTCCTATGGTCTGCAACAGCATAAACAATTAACTACTGATGTATCTGTTGTTCATCTAGATTCATGTTTGCACAATCGCTTTTGATCTCATTCCCTGGGTTGATACCATTATTTTAAGGTCGACCAAGAGAATTACCCAGTTTCAATAGGACACATGCAGAAGAGTAATCTTAGATGAAGTTGGAGAAGAACATTATCATGGAGTTAAGGAAATGAAAGGCTGGTTTTTAGCTGTACAGAGCAGGAGTTAGGCTTAGTTACCTCCCAACCAAATTCACACCATAGCAAAATGACATCTATTTCAATTTCAACCATTCTACCTAAGAAGAGAATTGATTTTTTTTTCAGTAGATAAAAAGAATTACCAGCAACAACATCGACCGACTTGTTAGAAGGTCCACAGTACAGAATGTGGCTCTTGGCTTCGGAGTCATCCTCCAAGGTTGCCTCGTTTCCACTCTTCTCCTGATTGAGCTTGTGAAACCAGTAGACAAGGTGAGTACCCACCACGGTTTTCCCAGTGCCTGAACAAACACAGAAACAAATAAAGAAGGAAGTCGTCAGCCTTACAAGGTAGACTAGATCAAGAAACCCATTCCACGGGACAACGAGAATTGTACTTATTTGAGATAGGCTCAAATAACAGAATTTATTAATTATTTAATCTTTCAATTTATATGACCACTCATCTCAAATACATGACTCTGGGTAGCTTACAATGAATAAAAGTGTGATTAAAAAATCATAAAAAAACAATAAATAACATATACAGCAGCAGAGATAAAACCAACCGACACAATCAACACAAACATGATACGTGCTCAACAACACACCCAGGTCTTGCAAATCTATCTGTTCTTCCCTTCCCTCCCTCTTCTACCCAGGGAGTCAAGGTGGGGGGTTAGTCTGAGTCTCTGCAATAGTGTCCCACCTCTCTGCACTCAAAACACGTTTCTTCTGGAGCTGATGTTTTCCTAACGGTCTCTGGGTTCTTCTCCAAGGTCATCTCCCTGGTTCTCCAGTCATAACCTCCTGCTTGGACAATGGCTTAACCAAGCAAAGAACTATCCAGGACTTTAAGCTGTCCAGAAACTTCCTGATCTTGTTACAAGCCATTGATTCACCAGTGGCTTGAACTTGACTGCTTCAGTACCAACAGAAGGAAATACTTTCTCATACAGCACACACAAGAGCCACTGGGATTGGAGTCAAACAATGAAAACAACGTCACACCGTTGCACCATCACATTGCCAGCTCTGCACACATGAAAAAGCAGAGATTGTTTTGCACTGTCACAGTGCCCTTTTGACAAGGCACTGGATCTTGTGAATGCCTCTGGCCATTTAGTTAAACTGGAATTCATTGCAAGCTGCTGTGGTCATGGGAAATTTTCAAAGGGGGCTGCCCAGATTCATGGAGGACCAGGCCATCAAAGGTTGCTGGTTTCTTGCCTCTTGCATCAGAGGAAGTTGACCTTTGATGCTGATTGCATGGAAGTGGATTCTTGCCCTTTGATCCTGGCTTATACATTTGCCAGATGCATCTGGTGGTCTCCTGGGTAACGCAAAAGGCTGGCCTAGATAGGCTTGTTTGCTAACCCAGCCTCAGGACTCTTGATATAAACGTAGCTGGCTCCCTAGAGAAGGCTCTGATGCTGGGAAAGGTGGAAGGAAAGAGAAGAGGACGACCAGCAGCAAGAGGGATGGACTCAGTTACAGGGGCGATGGGGCCACCATTGGGAGCCTTGAAAGAACAGGTTAGGGATAGATTGTCATGGAGAAAGTCTATCTATGTGGTTGCTAAGAATCAACACTGACTTGATGGCATATCATCAATCAATCAATGGGAAGACCAAGCTTCTTTGAGACATCCATAATGCTGGGAAAGGTGAAAGGAAAGAGAAGAAGAGGATGACCAGCAGCAAGGTGGATGGACTCTGTTACAGTGGCAGTAGGGACACTGATGGAAGATTTGAAGGACCAGGTTGGGGACAGATCGTCATGGGGAAAATCTATCTATGTGGTTGCTAAGAGACAATACTGACTTGATGGCACTTAATCAATTAAAGCAAGTTAAGAAATAAAGTTTGAGCATCCCTAGTTATAGTTAAGAAACTGCTTAGCTAATCTCTCACCTGGTGGGCCTTGGATGAGAGTGAAGGGCTTTCTCAACGCCTCCCTGATGGCCAACACCTGAGTTGGATTGAGTTTCCGGCTACTGCCCGGGATATCGAAATTCCCTCGTTTCAACACATTCGAAGGTTTTGCTTCTGCATAGTGGCAAGAGAAAACAAAATTCAAAGATACAATCCAGGCAAACTCATTATTCGCTGGGAGTCGGGCAACATATACGTTTATTATTGCTGCCGTTGTTGCCGTTGCTGTGAGTCTCCAAACCTTGATGGAAAACCACTCACAGGAGCAACGAGACATCTATCCCTTTGCACCAGAGAATGCTACCTACAGAGAATGCTGCCCTGGTTACAGTAAAGCAAAAAATAAATAAATAAATAAATAAAAACCAGCCCATTATCTGAGTTTCAGTTGCGATAAAGTAGATCACATTAAAAAAAAAAAAAGAACAGCTGTGGGGTAGGAAGGCACAATTTCTCAGTTTCAGGGGCACCTGCAAAGGGTGTGTGTGTCCACACCGTTAAGATGGTGGCCACGAGCAGAGGATTCCCTCCCCCACCTTGTATGCATAAAAAGGGGGCAGGGCGTTGACTACACATTAGTGGCTGCCCTCTTGATTTTTTTTACACACACACACACACACTCACACTGCAGTCACCCCTGCTCCCAGGCATTCACAGAGGAGCCGGGATGATAAAACCCTGCCATCGCGATGTAAGTTCCACCCTGCACGTATGTTGCAATGTCACACGCAGGTATTAAACAGGGGCAACTCGCATCGGACCAGCATGCCACCGCTTGCATCGTCTGGACCAAAGCCTCCCATCCTGCAGACCCCCCTGCTGCTCCTATTTTCAGTGCTAGGCCATGCAGTGTTTTTCTACTTACGTCTTTCAGGAATAGGATGACCCAGCGCTATGCCCTGGGCAAGCTCTGATGCATGCTCTAGATGCCAAATGGCTTTCTCTTTCCGGCTGTGAAGAGAAGAGAAGAGAAGAGAAGAGAAGAGAAGAGAAGAGAAGAGAAGAGAGATGAGTAAGGAAAGAGCCCCTGAGAAGGACAAACCCCAAACAGGGGCGATCTTGCCTCTCAGCGGTGGGGAACGCCACCTTCAGCCCCACAGCTCTGCAGCAGCAGCCCAGAGCCGCCTTGCTCCCCTCTTCAGAAAAGGAAACCCGGCAGGTTCTCGGGGTGAATTGCCCACAGGCTGTTCATCCTGAAGACCAGTGCACAAAGGCTTGTGTTTCATAGCTGTGTTCTGGCAACACAGGGGTTCGCAGCCCGGGGGGGATGCTGATAACCTAAGAACGCTCCCTCTACCTCTTTAGTTTGCACTGTAGCTTTAACGTTTTAGCTTAGTTTCCATCTTTCGTAGTTTTTAAGTTAGATATTTTTTTCCCTAGGATCTTCTCGCTTTTTTATCTGTAACGCCACCTAGCGTCGCTTGTTTAGGGAGAGCTGGGCGGCAGAGATACATTTGAAAAATAAATTTAAAAAAATAAATTAAAAAACACACACACCTAACCAGGTCAGCAAAAGGTCTGGTGGCTGCCTTCACACAGCAGTTTGAACCTTGGCTCAGATTTTGGTTAAGAAGACGGTTTGTTTATCATTTATTTGTTTGTCTTCTGCAAACCCAGATAATATATGAGCCAGGGTAAAGGTGTTGGGTGAACGGAGCCACGCGGAGAGGTTGGTTGTATAAATAAAATAAATTCCTTAATATCATTCAGTGCAAAAAGAGAAACAGGAGATCATTGTGTCCATAAGATCAGGGCAGCAACATCACGCATGGGACGTCCTGCCTCCTCAATGGGACAGCACGGCCATTTCTTGGGTAGGTCACAACTGCCTTGCAAATATTTTACCTCTATTTAATCCTAGCTTAGAAAGCCAGGTTGGTGTCACTGTTAAAGGCACCAGCCTAGAAGCCAGAGTAGCGTGAGTTCTGGTCCTACCGTAGGCGAGAAGAAGAGGGGGGACCTTGGGCCGGCCCCTCTCTCTCAGCCCTAGGAAGGAGGCTATATGCTAAACCCCTTCTAAAAAAAGGTGCCAAGAAAACTGCAGGGACTTGACCAGACAGTTGGCAGAAGTTGAGACTGACTCAAAGGCACCCCCCAAAAAATCTTAGTGTCGGCCAGTGGAGAGAAAGAGTTCTTAGCTGGACCTAGTCATGGTCTGTTTTCTGACTGATTAATCCAGGGTTTCTCAACCTTGGCAGCTTTCAGATGAGTGGACTTCAACTCCCAGAATTCCCCAGCCAATGACCTTATATGCAGTAGGGCAATGCATAGGAACTTGGCAAGAACAAGGTCCTGCCTATTACAGGGGTTGTGAAGGAATTGGGAGAATATTGGTCCCCCTTTGTGATATTCATGAGTAGTCAAACCACCACACCGTCCTCCAAATCATCTTTGGCTGGGATCAGTTATAGAAAAAATAAGACTGGAGAGAAAAGTGGTAAAAAAGAACCAAAACCACTTTGAAACAATGCAGACTTACATGTCAGGTAGTTGCTTCGGAATCAGCTCCACACAGAACCTCGATGTCTCCTGCATGACCTCAGTGGGGATGTTCTCCATAGACCTAAAATGGATGTAGAAATTCACCATCACTTCACCACGCTGATCAAATTTCTGACTGTTCTTAAACTCCTCTGTACATCCATGGGCCACCCAGGTGTAGGTATCGGGATCAATCATGAATGTCCCAGTCTCAGTAGTTCCCTTAGTCAAGCTAAGCTGTTGGAAACTCTGGCTGAGGGCTTTCTCCTTGTTCTGGATTCCATCAGCTTGTAGACCCGAAAGGCGGATACAGAGGTAGCAATAGCTAAAATCCACTTCGATGGCACATTCTTTCAGGAACTCCTTGGTGAAGGTGATAGTTCCACAAAGCTGCCCCTCCTTGGTCCGTTGCTTCTTCCAAACAATCGGGACCTCTTGCAGGACAATCGAGTCATTTTCAGCCAACGCACACAAAGCTGCTTCCATGTCACAAAGAGGCAGCCACACTTTGCGATAATCAGAGGCATTCTTGTAATTGTCCTTCGAGCCTTGGGAAGCGTATTTGGAGAAACAATCAATGGGTCTTTCAGAATGCTCTAAACATACATCAAAGCCAGGAGCTACTGACCACAGTTGCACAAATGGCACCAGGAAGCCTCGTTGGACATCGGTGGTAAGTTGGAGATCTAGAACATCTCCGACGTTAAGCTCCACCGACAGTTCTATGTAGTGTAAGCACTTACTCCTCTTCATTTGCCCCAAACTTTTTGACTGCAGGATGTGATCCTTCTCAAGGAGAAGGATTAACTTCTCATATTCTTTATTTTTGATAGCTGCAAGGATTTCATGCCACACATCTCCAGGAAAGTGAATGACATTTTTCTCTCCAATGCTTGATATTTTTTTGTCACTTCCCTTTTTGGTTATGTAGGAGTAAACTCTCCTCCTCCAGGTTAGCCTCATACTGTTCCGTTCCTCAATTAACAACGGCTGTGCCACCAACTGAAGAGCTCTGTAATTGATGCACTGAGCATCTGGAAGGGTCTCCTTGTTGAGAGGAAACAACATTTTGAAGTTCTTGGCCATCCCTTCAATGCTTGTGACGAAGGCAAATTTCTGTTGAACCTGGTATTTCAACTGAGTTGCCAGCTCCAAAGATCGGACTTTTCGGTTGTAGGTATTTGCCTTGCTATTCTTCCGGTTGAAATCATGGCAAAGGAATTCAATATCTCCTGGAGAGTACTGCACAGGTTTCTTCAAAATCACAGAGAGAATGTGCCGCTGCACTACAATATCTATGTAGCGTCGAATAGGAGAGGTAGCCCAGGTATACGAGTCCACATGCAAAGAATAGTGGCCCACTTTGGACCGATCACACGAATTGGAACGAAGAAAGTAAGAGCGGTTCAGGAGCTTCCGAAATTCTAAGTTCGCAGGTGCAAGCTTGGGGTGGATGTCATCTGTTGTAATGAGGTCAAGCATCTTGGGAAAGTTGCGGTCCCTGACAGCTGACTTGAGATGGTCCCACAAAGAAGGCAAGAGAACAAATGGATGACTGGTCTTCCTGGGGACTTCATTGGTTGGAGCTCCCAGATGATGTGAGAGGTGGGTGGATAGGGGAATGATCTCTCTGTATTTGTCCTTCATCTTGGATATTTGGTGTGGATTGGGCTCCATCTGACAACGAAGAGGGGTTAAATTTCTGGTAGGAATGTTGTTCATGAGTAAATCTCCCACAGAACTGTTGAACAGGATCATGAACTCCTCAATCATCTGGTGAGAACATCGCTGACCTAAATGAATTTCTTCATCCAACTGGTCATAATAACAGTCTTCATGAAGCCTGGAATTTCGGTGGATACGGGAGAAATGATACGCCACCGCAACACAGTCCTCTAAGGTGTCAAAACAAAGTAATGGTGCCTCTGTTTTATAGCAGTTCTTAATGATTCCCTCTGTTTCCTCATAAGTCATTTGCCGATCAGAGCAGATTACGGACATGGCAAAGGAAATACTTTCCATCTGATCTGTAGCCTTATCCACTGAGACAAAGAGAGAGATCGCTAAACGATCCTTCTGTGGAAGGAGACTGCAGAGATCTTGACTGAGCTGTGGTGGGTACATGCCTACAGGCTCCTTCAGAGTAGCATAATAAGTTGCCCCTCGGTTCTTGCCTTCCATATCTATGGCACAATCTTTGGGGATCACAGATGCCAAGTCAGCAATGTGGATCCCAATTTCGTATTTGTTACCCATATCTCTGACACTGATGGCATCGTCCAGATCTTTAGCACCCAAGGGGTCAACAGTGAAAGTCAAGTCAGCCCGACAGTCTTTCCGCTTCCCTTTCATAAGAGAGAGGTGTCCCGAGATTAATTGGACCACCTCGCTGGTCACTGAGGCAGGATATTCATTTGACAAACAATGCTCCTTATCCAGAACATGAAGCCCATCTTCTAGTGATGAAACCAAGGGAAGGACCTCCGTAACAATTCCCAGAGGGTAGTAATAACCTTCTCGCCACTTGATTACCTGCACTGCAAAAAGGCACCTCTTCCGGCCTTCTTGGGTTACTTTCTTCTTGCGCTTCAACTTGACCTTTCCTGCCTGGTCAACCGTGCGGATAGGAACAACATTAGGGTCATCTTTCAACTCAGGGACAAAGATTTTTGTGACAGTGTGGTCAATGGGGATCATGACCCGGAGGTCATACTCATCCACTGTGCAGAAAAAGGTGCGATTCTGGTCCACCTTCTTTAAGACACCAACCACTCTCCCAAGGGGGCCGCCCTCAAGGGCAGCTTTTCCTGGATTGGGCGTCAGGATCTCCACCAAGACCTGGTCTCCAGTAAAGGCCATGCCACAGTTAATTCGACCTTTGATCTGGATGACCATAGAAGGAACCTCATCCAGAACGAAGGCAGAAGCTCGATCGAACCCTTCTTTGATGAATTCACAGCGTTTGTATCTGCCGGGCTGCATCTGCAGATATTGCTTCATGGTTTGCAGGGAATAGTTGACATACTCTTGCCTACTGCTTTTAGGGACCAAAGCGTCAGATTTCACCTTCAGCAGACCTTCTTCGGTGACAGTCACCATCATGTCTTTGCTCTCATCCAAGAGTTCCTGCAATATGGGATCACTGACATTCAAACTCTCTGTGTCGGAGAACCAGGAGTCTGTATCACTACCCTCTTCCTCAGATTCAGGGTTCCCTCTGTTCCAGCTGGCCAGATCAGACACCACCTGCCTTATCTCCTCCAAGGTCAGAGTTTCAGGAGTGATGGACCTCTTGTCAATGCACTTCTTGATGAAACTTTTCCAGATCTTACTACACTGCCCATAAGAACACAAAGCTACTGCGTCTCCAATTGCAATGACCTGGGACTGAGCCCTTGTTATGATGGTGTTAAGCACCCGTGCATTGTTGAAATACTCCAGGTTAGAGGAGCTGAGATGGGTGAGGCTGTTTCGGGTGTGGATAGTATTGATGATGATGACACGAAATTCTCGCCCTATTTAAAAAAACATAAAATATAAGGGGGACCTGTTTGTGAATAAGTTTCCCATCAAATAATTAAGTCAAGACAAAGAAAATAAAGATGTTACAGATGCAAAGAGAGATTTCAAATTATGGATATCCACCCCAAATTGGAAGCTGTATCAGATTCCTTCTGTCGGAGCCAGAATTTCAGGTTTCCGGTCCTGTGCAAGGATGGTGGATGGGCTTGGGCAGTGAGAGGATTATTACAAACTAGCATCACACTGGCAATTACCTGGTTGGCATCCACAACAAGCTGGGATGTCACTGTAATGAAGCGGGCACCAGGATGTCATCACACAAATGGCACGCTCATGTAATGACACCATGACGTCTGATGGGAAGCCGATCAGAAATGCTATATGCACGGAGACCTCATCGTACTTGATGTCACTACCCCACACGTACACTTTGCTCCCTCTACAGACAGTTTGCTGGGTGAACTCAGGAGAAGGGCAGAAAACTCAGAAAACCCTCTTGGGACAATCACACCACCCCAGCTACGCTCATTTGATGAAGCATAGTTGGCATTGCACAGAGAAGATCTCAGGATACTTCCTAGTTCTTCCAGTTATAAAAAGGAGATGGGAAAGGGGTTTTGGCTGTCAGGGCAAACAAGGTAGGGGTGAGTATAGCTACTGCTGTGAGACTAGGCTGAAGCTGCCATAACCTAAAGTTGAAGTAGGCATGTAAGCAGAGAGGACAAAAGCCAGGAAACTTATCTATGAGAT